CCACCTGGCTCACTTGATGTTCACCCTTGGAATCTGGCCACCATATTGTAAGCCCAAGACACACAAAGGGACTACAAGTGGATGTTTAATCCAACAGCCCTAGCTAAGGTCTCAGCCAGGAGCTGGCATCAACTACTATACATGTGAGTGAAAGACACTTCAGATGATTCTAGCCTCTAAACTTTGAGTCTTTCAGCTGAGACCCCAGGCTTTGTACAGGAGAGATAAGTTGTCTCTGCTGCCTGTCTGCATTCCTGACCCAGAGAAACTGTGAAAAATAATAAATGATTATTGTTTCATGCCCTTAAGTTTCTTATTGATATATCATATATATCCTCCCATGTTAAAAATACAACATTTAAATTTGATCATTTAAAATTACTTGATAATTAGAATACCAGGAGGAGAAGAAAAAGAGAATAAAATAAAAGGAATATTTGAAATAATAATTGCTGAGAATTTTCCAAAATTAGTGACAGACACAAACCACAGATCCAGGAAGTCCAGAGAATGCCAAAAAGGATAAAAACCAAAAATGTACACCTAAGCATATCATATTCAAATGCCAAACACCAAAGATAAGGAGAAAACACATGTTACCCATAGAGGAACAAGGGTAAGAATTACAGTGGATTTTCTCATTAGAAACCACACAAATAAGAAGAGAAATATTTAAAATAGTTAAAGAAAATGCCAATCTACAATTCCATATTCAAGGAATTCAAAAGGGATGAGAAATAAACTTTCTCAAACAAGCAAAATCTTCATTACCAGCAGACCTGCCGTGCAAGAAAATGAAGAACCAAGTTCTTCAGGGAGAAAAGAAAATAATGCAGGTCAGAAACGTGAATCTACACTAAGGAAGAGTGACAAAGAAGAAATAAGTCAAGGTATTTTCTTATTCTTAGTTGATCTAAAAGATAACTGTTTGCTTAAAGTAATAATAACAATGAATTGGGTGATTATAGCATATGATGAGTAAAATGACTGATAGTAATGCCATAAGGGATGGGTGGGAGTAATCGGGATTACTCTATTACAAGGTATTTGTAATACCTAGGAAGTAATATAGTATTATTCAAAGGTAGACTTAGATTAGTGGTAATTTATATTGCAAACTGCAGGACAACCATTAATTTAAAATAAAAAAGAAGTATTACTGATATGTAGAGACAGTACGAAGATTTGCAGTTGCCAGAAGTTTGGAGTGGGGCAGGGGAAGATGGTTGAATAGGTGAAGCAAAGGGAAATTTTTAGTGAAACTATTCTGTATGATATTGTAATGGTGGATACATGACACAAGGCATTTTTGAAAACTCATAGAAGTTTACAACACAAAGAGTTAAACTTAATGTATGCAAATTAAAAAAAATCATTTAGGATGTTGGGGGGGTCCCAGAATGGAACACAGAATCTGACACAATGATCTAAATATAATACAAATGTATGACAAAAACCAGTGAAGGAGGTGGTGGAAAAGGTGCTGACCTTACTAACTTTGGAAATGAGTGGAGTCTGTAAGACAAAAGGAACTGCACGTAAGTACTGTACTCTGGTTAATAAAGTAGTTTTCTGGGCAGTATGGATTAACAATTCAGATACTACTACACATGCAGACTGGAACTGAATGGTTAAAGTCAAAGGATGGCAGATGGTGGGAGCTAGGTTTCTCACTGTTGTTGGAATGGCACATTATAAGTAAGGAAGGGGAGCAGGCTAGAATGATCCGTGTGGTAATAAATTAGAGTTGGAGACATTAGTATGAACGAATATGTAGCTTAACACAGACACAAGTGGTTACATATAGAAATATACATGCACACATACACTCACACATGGTTACATATAAAATATTTATACACACACACAGAGGTTAGTATATACATATATATTCCCTTGCTCTGTCAGTTGAGAGGATCTAAAAGCAAAGACACCCCAGTAGCAATGAGTAAACCTAAGGCCCAAATCTTGCTTTCTAATACGATTCTCCAGGAAAAGAAACCAAGGCCACTAGAGAAATAGATGATTTCTGGGCCAGGGAAGACACAAAATAAGCCTAGAGCACCTTACAGTACCAAAGGTAAGGAAGTGCTCCAAAAACAAAACAAAAAACTACACAGTGATAGGGGTATGTCAAAGGGACAGAGGAACAAACTGAAAGAGCTCCCACTGGCCAAAGATGGAACAATTTGAGCAACAAAATAAAGCAGTATTAGATTATAACCCAAAATATAAAATAAGCATCTGTGAGTCTATACTGATATAAATGGGGGAGAAGCGACAATCCTCCATTTAGAATTCCAAATAATTTATGTAGACTCTCTGCCCTCAAGGAGATGGAGCATAACTCTCTACTCCTTATGTGTGGGCTGCACATAGTGACTTCTTTCCAAAGAGGACAGTGTGGGAAGATGGAAAAAGAGAGGAAGTTTACCGTGGAGAAACCTGGCAAACACACTTCAGTCAGGTGATCAGGTCAATATCAACAGTGATGAGTCATGTTATTTAATATGTAGTTTTGATGATGTGATGAGAATTACACTTTACCTCTGTGGTCTTCCTCCCCAAAACCTATAACTTCAGCCTAACATTAAGAAAAATATCAGACAAATCACAATAGAGGAACATTCTACAAAACATCTAACCAATGCTCCTCAAAACTGTTATGGTCATCAAAAATGAGGAAAGGCTGAGAAACTGAGAGCCAGGAGGAGCCTAAGGAAACATGACAGCTAAACATAATATGTTATCCTGGATGGGATCCTGCAACAGAAAAAGGACTTTAAGTAAAAACTAAAGAAATCTGAATAAAGTATGGACTTTAGTTAATGATAGTATATCAATACTGGCTCATTAATTACAACAAATGTTTCATAATAATGGAAGATGTTAGTTAGTAATAGGGAAAACTGGGTGCAGGGTATACGGTAATTATGGTACTATCTTTGCAATTTTTCTCTCAATCTAAAACTATCCTAAAAAATAATTTAAAAAAATAGTGACAATCACAAAAACAAATACTGATTTACTACAAAAAAAAGTTAATTGACAAACTATGACTATAAATCAATAAACACCAAGTCCTATGAACTTTTCCCCACAAGGTAAATCATATGCTGCATGGAAACAGAAGAGAATAAAGAATATTTGTAAAATCTGAAAATATCCTGCTTTTTCCAAAAATTGTTTATTTGCTATTTGATTTTTCTAACAGACAGCAGAGAGAAATTCACCTCTGAGGACCGTTAATGAGGAAAGAAGTTGATATTGAATATTACCACTGAACTGATTCAAATGGGGTAATGAGACCTGTGATTGGGTCACCTCGGGGTCTCTAAGAGACTTAATCAAAAGGGTTAGATACTGAATTAGTGGTTCACAAAAACTGGCTCTGAGTTGCAAACATACTTCTCTACATCTTCCTTTAGCTAAAATCAAGTCAGTCTCTCCAGCTTGGGAGTGTGGGAAAGCTCAGACAGTGAAAGCTGGGTTTTGCTTTGCACTGCATTTTGCTGGTTTTATATTTTGGTTTCCTGAAACACCCATCTTCTTGTAATTAAAGAATCAAAGTAAAGTCTAGCCTAGTGAGGAGATATGTACCAAATTTGGCAGGTCCTAAAATAACGCTGCTGCTGCTGTTACTAACAGTAGTGACAGCCAGCATTTACTGAGATTTAATATGTACTATGAGCTGTTCTTAGCACTTTACATATACTTTCTTAGAGCATGTTAACTGTATAGACTGTTTTGTTGGGGTTCAAAAGCCAGCTGTACTACCTTAAGTTACTTGCTTCTCTGTGCCTCAGTTTCCTCATGTATAAAATGCAGATATTAGCAGCCCTCTTGTAAGGATTAAATGAGGCATGTGTATTACTAACCACACTTACAAATGAGGAAATGAGGCACAGAGGGAGAAAATAATTTGCCCAGTCACGTCTCTAGCCTGCATGTGAACTCCAAAAATCAACTTCCAGAGTTCACATTTTTAACCTGTGGGCTATCACTACTTTTTAGAAAAGCAGCCAGTGACAAACAGAAGGAAAGGAAGCTGGTATTGGGGGCAAGATGGGACGTCCATGTGGAAATATTGCATAAGAGTTTGGGAATGACAGACTGGATCTTTAGGAAAAAGTTCAGGCCTGGGGAGAGAAATTTGAGAAAGATCTTCAGAAAAGTGAGGGTTAAGTAATGAAAACAGATCTCAAAAGTGGAAAGACCAAAAAACAAGAGCCCAGGAGGGGAGTCTGAAGTAGCAGGGAAAAAACAATCATAGAAGGAGATAGAGGCATCAGTCAGATAGATGAGAAGGACATTTGGACGGTTTAGTATCACAGTTGCACTAGACAGAGGAACTCCCAATAAAGAGGGAGCTCTCTGTCCTCCCCAGTGCCAGTCTCAGAGCCCAGGCCACGTTGAACTCCTTCTGTGATGCCCATCAGGTATCAGCCCTGACCTTTAGTATTAGCTCAAAATAACTCCACTTCTTGAATCTCTTCCCTGAATCCTCTTGGACATTCATTCCTAAGATCAGGACCAAAAACTCCCTGAAGACAGAAATAACAACTTTCCTCTTTGTAGCTCCAGTGCCCTACACAGTATCCTGTACGTTGTCATGCTCAATATCTGTTGAGGGTGTCTCTTCTGGCCCTTCCATGGCTTTGCTCCAAGTGACACTATATCATCTGTGAAGATAAAGACTCCCTAATACTTCATACTCCTCACCAAGCACTTATCCTATCTGGAAGCCTATGTTCAGAGCTGACTCAATCTTTGGTCATGAAATGACTTTGGGGTGAATTAAGAGTGACCTCTGTCTGGGGACAGAGGATGCACATTCCTCAGCAACCCCTTGATAAGGCCAGGACCATGGAAAAAACCTATCAGGCTCTGGATTCTCAATAGTTTTCACTGGAAAGCAAAGTACCTGGACAAAGAATGGAAATATGTCCACCATCTCTGAACACAGAAGGCAATTCATTAAAAAGACAAAATTTACTTACTGTCACCTGAGCAGGCAGCAAATCCACAGCCATTCTTTCCTTCTTAGTTTTCCTGTCAAGGGAGAGCAGCGTGCTTGACAAGGTAGGTCTGCAGAGAGAAAAAGGTATTGTGAAGAACTCTGGCGTCAAGGGATGGCTTGGAGAAAGGAAGTTACAACCACCCATAATGTCCATCAGGTCCCTACAAAGCCACCCCACATAAATGATGCAAACCAAGTGTGTGCCTACTAAGCCAATGAAGTTCTAAGACAATCTGCCAACCTCCACCTCCTCCTTGTATTAACCATACTTCTAATTTCCATAAACTGATGCTTTAACATCCATCTGGGATCTATTAGCTACATCTAAGCAAATTGTGACTCACCACAGATTTCTGGAGTCCTTAAGATAGCTTTAAACTACACACTCAGACAGTCACAGCAAGCGTGTGATTCCTGGGCTCCCACTTTCAAACATAACTAGTCAATCCTAAGCCCATTTGCCCTGCCTTACCTTTTCGTTCCTGAAGAAACCACAATAAAGGAACTTGCCCACATGTGCCCTCTCTTTCTCTGCGGAATGACCAACGCAGGCGCTCCTGAGTGGCTCCTTCCTGGAGTGCTGTGCTCTTCCTAGGGAACTCTCACACAATGCACGCCATATTGCTTGCCACTCCCAAACACAAATTCCACAGGTGCCACCTCTTGCAGCATCCACAGCTCCAAATAGTCCTTTGCTCTTCATATACAAACCCCAACAGGGAAAACAAGGTAAGAGGAGCAGCCAGACAACCGTCAGAGAAGAGCCGTGGCCACAGCTGCCTGCACTGGCCGCCTAAGTTTGCAGCGGGTTCTACAGGTATAGCACCTGGCATGAAAGCTCAACAAGCTGAGTATGCTGTGTAAACTCAGCCAGGGAAGGGAAGCTGCTGTACAAGTATCATAGTTACTCTATGATGCACATCTTCTGCCCGCCAGGAATCTTGCATGCTTTACATGTATTATTTAATCCTCACAACGACTCTAAAAAATATTGCTACTCCGTATTACGGATGTGAGGAAGACTGAGAACCAGGGAGTCTAGTGACCTGTCCAAAGAAACAAAACTGGTAAGTAGTAGAGGCAAAAAGTGACCATAGTCTGAGTCCAAGGCTGGCAAATTACCTGTTCACTCTGCGTCTCATTTTCTTCATCTGTAAAACGGGGACCTACCTGTTATCTGAGGATGAAATGAGTTAATTCATCCAAGGCGCCAGACTAGTGCCCGGCACACATAAAGTCTCCATAGGCATTAGCTATTGTTTTCATTGTCTGTTTCATTTAGAAGTCTCAGAAAAGCCAGCCACAAAAGACCCCCACTGACAGCATTCCCGGGCCCGCCCCAGCTCACCTGGAAGGGGTGCTCCCTCCCCGCGAGTCTGGGGGGTACGGGGTGGGGAGGGAGGGAGCGACGCCCTCGAAGCACCGTGGCTCGGGCCGTGCAGACAGCCTCCAGACCCACCCGCCCGTGGCGTCTCCCTGGTGCCCCAGCGCGCGTCCCCGCCCGGCCCGCGCACTTGCCAGCCCAGACGGTCACAGGCGCTGGCTCCGACCGCCACCCGAAAGAGGCAACCGGGAGCTTCTCAGTCCCAGGCACGGTGCCCTAGCAGTTCCGGGATCACCCGCGCCAAAAGCCCCAGAAAGGCCGCGAGCCGTCCCCGCCGCCCCGCGAACCCAGGAGAACTACGACTCCCGGCATGCCTCTGGCCCCGCGCCGACTACACTTCCTAGGGGGCGCCGCTGGCGCCGGCCACTTCCGAGAGGTGAAAGTTCTCGCCTCTGGGGAGCTCTTGGTCCCACAAAAGAGAACTTGATCAGAATTTTGGAAGACTTGTCCATGGTGCTCCCCATTTTTCTAAATTTTGTTAAACATTCCTTTCATTAGCCTGATGAGTAGTAGGTCATATTGATACAAAACAGGGTTCTTGGCCTTCCCCAATCAATAGAAATTGACAAAAGGCCAGACAAGAAATTCAGGCAAGGCTTTATTGGGGCCCCTGCTGCAGCAGGGGGGAGCAAGAACAAGTAACAGGTTTCCTTGCTCACTTGCTGGGGGGGAGGGGTAGCTTGTTCCTTATATGGGGTGAGGGTAGGGGTGTGTCCAGGGGTCCAGCGGGAGGGGTGGCTTAGGTGGTTTGCCCACCCCTTAGATGGTGTTGTGTGCAGGGGACATGGGCAGTACCCTGCTTTTGCTCTGGGCTATTCAAAAGTGGCAGTTGGGTTTTTTGGTCTCTTTATATCTTTTGTCCAGAATTTGCTCCAACTGCACATGCAAGCAGTTATTTTTAGTCCCATATAGTTTCTTTGTACTTTGTTGCTGGAGGAGAGGTGTGTCCAGGTGCAAGCATTGCAGCACTACAGCAAAAGGTCCCAGTCCCAGTCTGTCTCAATATGTATGTGTCCCTAAAACAGTGTTTACTTTTGCAAGGTGTTTGATATTTATATAAACAGAATCTGCTATATGTTCTTCTGTGACTTACATGCTCAACATGAACACTTATTAGGTTCACCTATCTTGATATATGAAAACTTCATTTTCACTGTTGTATGATTCCATTATTCATTCATTGAACAAAGTATATTTAACACCTGTCTTGCGCCTGGCATTGTTGTAGATGCTAGAAATAGACCAGTAAATAAACCTGGCAAAACCTCTGCATTCATGCAGCTTAAATTCTCATGGGAGAGAAAGAAGAAAAATAATAACAAAAATAACTCAGCCATAAAAAAGAATGAAATAATGCCATTTGCAGCAACATGGATAGACCTAGAGATATCATACTAAGTGAAGTAAGTCAGGCAGAGAAAAACAATTACCATATGATATCATTTATATGTGGAATCTAAAAAATGATACAAATGAATTTATTTACAAAACAGAAACAGACTCACAGACACAGAAAACAAATTTATAGTTACACCAAAGGGAAAAGGGGTGGAGGAGGGATAAATCAGAAGTTTGCGATTAGCAGATACAAACTACTATATATAAAATAAACAAGGTCCTACTTTATAACACAGGGAACTATATTCAATATTGTGTAATAAACTATAAAGGAAAATAATGTGAAAAAGAATATGTATAGCTGCATAGCTGAATCACTTTTCTGTACACCAGAAACTAACACAACATTGTAAATCAACTATACTTCAGTAAAGTAAATAAATAAATAGTATGTGTTTGGAAAGTGATGAGTACTAACAAGAACAAGAAAGGGGAATAGGAACCTTGGTGGGAGAGGAATTTTACAATTTTACACAAAGTGATTATGAAACATTTGACCAACAAAGTGACATTTGAAGAAGGACCAGCAGAAGATGAGAAGTGAGCCAAGCTAAATATCTGGGGGAAGGGTTTCTGATAGACTAACAAGCAGATGCCCTGAGGTGGGAGCATGCCTGGCCTGTTTAAGGAACAATAAGGAAAACAGAAATAAGGAGGGAAAGAGAAGTAGGGGATCAGCAGCAAGAGGACTAGAATTTATAGGCTCTTATTTGTCATTATGTCACTGGATTTTATTCTCAAGAGAATGCTCTGGGCACTGGAGAGACATACTCTTATGTCCATTTTTTTTAGTGATCATGCTGACTGCTGTGCTGAGAATAAACTAAAAGTTCAAAGTAAGAAGTAGAGAGACTAGGACTAGTTAGAAGGCTATTGTGGTAAATCTGTGAGAGAAAACAGCAGTTTGGACTGAGTAGAAGTTATGAGAAGTGGTTGGAAAAAGTAAAAATTCAAAATATGGAAAAGATGAAGATGTTAAGAACATTGGAATATAATGTTTCTCAACTATGAATTATATATATTCCTTTTAAATTGTCCTGGTAATATTACACTTTAAAAAACATTCTTTATGTTCTGTTTTTCTGGTTATAAAAATTAAGGATTAGCTTATCTCTTGGCTTCCTTTTGTTGACCTAAAACAAATAGACTGCCAGTTTTTTCTCCAGAGAAAATGTGTTTATTCAGGATTAGCAAAGAATTGCAATTTGGGGTCTGTAAATATGGTTGTGCAAGTCCTCAGCAAAAATGGAGAGGACAACTTTTTTATAGAGGGGAAAAGGAAGTTGATAGGGCTATAAAGAAAGAGCCCATGGCTTTTTCATTGGCTGAGTCCTGACAGACTCTCATTGGCTGAGCTCCTTCCAGGAAAGAAGGGGAAGTCTTTTCTTTCCCTGTTGGGTTCTTCCTGTTGTAGGGGTGAGAGCACCCCCTTCTAGTCTCCCATTTCTATTTAATTGAGTTTTCTGTTTATTAATTTCTTACACTTTATATTTTAAACCAAATGCAATTTAATTTTCTGTCCCCTTTAAAATTTTTAAAAATATGAGCTAATAGGCCTATCTAATTTTAGTACTTCCATATTCCATTTTCTCTCTCAACTATGAATTTTGGCAATTTCCTTGAGTTTTATAATTTATACTTATTTGTAATTAAATTTATATTTAATCTGTTTCTCTATTGACCATGTCTATACCATCACTTCCTGAATTTCCTCTTTTGGTCTTGACATTTCTGGGTTTTTTCACATTGTCACAGCCTAGTTTTTATTTGTGTCCTCTCAGTTATTCCATGGGCCTCTTTTACTTAGTTTTCTGGAGATATCTGTGGCCAATTTGATTTTTCTTCTCTTATAGGTAATCTTCTTCTGTTTATTTATTTCTGTACATTGACTTTTATAAATCCCCCCCTTTACTTCCTGTATCTTTAAGTATTTCTATTTTTTTCCCTGTATCTAGCAATTGGTTTTTTCCATTATTATTATTATTATTTAACATCCTTATTGGGGTATAATTGCTTTACAATGGTGTGTTAGTTTCTACTTTATAACAAAGTGAATCAGTTATACATATACATATGTTCCCATATCTCTTCCCTCTTGCATCTCCCTCCCTCACACCCTCCCTATCCCACCCCTCCAGGCGGTCACAAAGCACTAGCCGATATCCCTGTGCTATGCGGCTGCTTCCCACTAGCTATCTACCTTACGTTTCGTAGTGTATATATGTCCATACCTCTCTCTCGCTTTGTCACAGCTCACCCTTCCCCCTCCCCATATCCTCAAGTCCGTTCTCCAGTAGGTGTGTGTCTTTATTCCTGTCTTACCCCTAGGTTCTTCATGACATTTTTTTTCTTAAATTCCATATATATGTGTTAGCATACGGTATTTGTCTTTCTCTTTCTGACTTACTTCACTCTGTATGACAGACTCTAGGTCTATCCACCTCATTACAAATAGCTCAATTTCGTTTCTCTTTATGGCTGAGTAATATTCCATTGTATATATGTGCCACATCTTCTTTATCCATTCATCCAATGATGGACACTTAGGTTGTTTCCATCTCCAGGCTATTGAAAATAGAGCTGCAATGAATATTTTGGTACATGACTCTTTTTGAATTATGGTTTTCTCAGGGTATATGCCCAGTAGTGGGATTGCTGGGTCATATGGTAGTTCTATTTGTAGCTTTTTAAGGAACCTCCGTACTGTTCTCCATAGTGGCTGTACCAATTCACATTCCCACCAGCAGTGCAAGAGTGTTCTCTTTTCTCCACACCCTCTCCAGCATTTATTGTTTCTAGATTTTTTGATGATGGCCATTCTGACTGGTGTGAGATGATATCTCATTGTAGTTTTGATTTGCATTTCTCTAATGATTAATGATGTTGAGCATTCTTTCATGTGTTTGTTGACAGTCTGTATATCTTCTTTGGAGAAATGTCTATTTAGGTCTTCTGCCCATTTTTGGATTGGGTTGTTTGTTTTTTTGTTATTGAGCTGCATGAGCTGCTTGTAAATTTTGGAAATTAATCCTTTGTCAGTTGCTTCATTTGCAAATATTTTCTCCCATTCTGAGGGTTGTCTTTTGGTCTTGTTTATAGTTTTCTTTGCTGTGCAAAAGCTTTGAAGTTTCATTAGGTCCCATTTATTTTTGTTTTTATTTCCATTTCTCTAGGAGGTGGGTCAAAAAGGATCTTGCTGTGATTTATGTCATAGAGTGTTCTGCCTATGTTTTCCTCTAAGAGTTTGATAGTTTCTGGCCTTACATTTAGGTCTTTAATCCATTTTGAGCTTATTTTTGTGTATGGTGTTAGGGAGTGTTCTAATCTCATACTTCTACATGTACCTGTCCAGTTTTCTCAGCACGACTTATTGAAGAGGCTGTCCTTTCTCCACTGTACATTCCTGCCTCCTTTATCAAAGATAAGGTGACCATATGTGCGTGGGTTTATCTCTGGGCTTTCTATCCTGTTCCATTGATCTACATTTCTGTTTTTGTGCCAGTACCATACTGTCTTGATTACTGTAGCTTTGTAGTATAGTCTGAAATCAGGGAGCCTGATTCCTCCAGCTCCGTTTTACATTCTCAAGATTGCTTTGCTATTCGGGGTCTTTTGTGTTTCCATACAAATTGTGAAATTTTTTGTTCTAGTTCTGTGAAAAACTCCAGTGGTAGTTTGATAGGGATTGCATTGAATCTGTAGATTGCTTTGGGTAGTAGAGTCATTTTCACAATGTTGATTCTTCCAATCCAAGAACATGGTATATCTCTCCATCTATTTGTATCATTTTTAATGTCTTTCATCAGTGTCTTATAATTTTCTGCATACAGGTCTTTTGTCTTCTTAGGTAGGTTTATTCCTAGATATTTTATTCTTTTTGTTGCAATGGTAAATGGGAGTGTTTCCTTAATTTCTCTTTCAGATTTTTCATCATTACTGTATAGGAATGCCAGAGATTTCTGTGCATTAATTTTGTATCCTGCTACTTTACCAAATTCGTTGATTAACTCTAATAGTTTTCTGGTAGCATCTTTAGGATTCTCTATGTATAGTATCATGTCATCTGCAAACAGTGACAGCTTTACTTCTTCTTTTCTGATTTGGATTCCTTTTATTTCCTTTTCTTCTCTGATTGCTGTGGCTAAA